CAATAATCCACAGCTCCTCTCTCTGCTCCAGAGGATTTAAAAAATATATATCCCAATGCCACAAAAATGCATCAGTGACGTGGTTGAAATCTTGTCTCCAGAAAACAAAAAACTGAAACAAGCGGTATCAGTGACTGTGTGTTTGATGTGGCTCTTTGCAGTAACATAGAAAAAATGTGGCTCTTAACCTCTGACTGGTTGGCCACCCCTGGGCTAGATGGTGCGGGGGTAGAGGACATGCTGCCAGGGGGGGGAGGTGGTTGACGTAGGCGCGGTGATGAGGACGGGGGAGATGGTGCGCGTCTCCGCGGTGATTTTGGTGGGCGTCGTTGAGGAGCGGGGGTAAAGGACATGGTGCCAGCCCTGCGTATCGCCTTCGTTTGGTCTTTGAACTCCAGGAAGGAATCGGTGCCAACCCTCTGTATCTCCTTTGTGTGTTCATCGATCTCCAGGAGGGTGGGCGAGGGTGAAAGGGTGAAACGGAGTATCCTCAAAGGCGTTGACAGGGGGGGGGGGCAGTGGAGACTCCTCCATGTGTCTCATATGTCTCCCATAATCAGAACATTCCTCAGGCGGGTGCAGTGATAATTCTTCAGGGTTTTCTGCGTGATGTGTTGTGTCTTTCTCGTGTTTTGATTCCTCTTGCCGCTTGTCCTTGGCAGAGGGAACAGATTGATGACGCAGGCAGTTGAATATGTTAGAGATAAACAATTTCACTCCTGACTTGTTCAGGCAAAACTCCATTTGCCTTGAAAAGATGTCTGCGATCCCAGAAAAAGTTAAAATTGTCAATAAAATGAACAGAATGGTCAGTACAGGCCGTTGAAAGCCAGGTGTTCAGTGCAAACAATCTGCTGAATCTCTCCACTCCTCTTCTGACTGGCGGTAGAGGGCCACTGATGAACACCTCTGCATTTAGAGAGCTGGCAGTTTCCAACAAACATTTAAAGTCTTCTTTCAGCACTTCTGACTGTTGTTTCACAACATCATTTGTTCCAATGTGCAGTACCACATTCAAAGGAATACTTGTGAATAAAATGCAGAAGAGTTTTATTTATTATAACAATAAGCTCTCTGAAGAACCAGCACCTTACCGTAGTAGAGAGGTTTGTGTGCCCTGATGAACCTGGGGGCTGTGTTGTCTGGAACCTTGTGTTCCTGGTAGAGTCTCCCATGGCAAATTGGTCTCAGGCAAGGGGCCAGACGAAGATTGGTTCAAAAGACCTCATGAAAGACGACACAGGAAGTGAGGATACCCGGCCCGGAGGAAGCCCAGGGTCCCCTTCTGGAGCCAGGCCCAGAAGGAGGACTCGTCGGCGAGCGTCTGTTGGCCGGGCTTGCCACGGAGCTCGGCCGGGCACAGCCCGAAAAGTCAACGTGGGCAACACCTCTGCTTCTCCGTCCCGCGGGCCCACCACCTACGGGAAACAGCGATGGGGTGCGCTGCCAGAAGAGTGGCAGTGAAAGTAGAGGGTCTCGACGGAAGCTGGCTTTGAGGACGTGGAACGTCACCTCTCTGTGGGGGGAGGAGCCGGAACTTGTGCGGGAGGTGGAGCGTTACCAGTTGGATCTGGTTGGGCTCACCTCTACGCACAGCGTCGGCTCTGGAACCTTACTTCTGGATAGGGGTTGGACTCTATTCTTCTCCGGAGTTGTACGGACGAGTGGACGAGAGGGTCGCCTCCCTACGCCTGCGGGTTAATGGGGGGGAAAACTCTTACTGTTGTGTGTGCTTATGCACCAAACAGCAGTTCAGAGTATACGGCCTTCTTGGAGACCCTGGAAAGAGTCCTGTATGGGGCTCCTGAAGGGGACTCTTTAATCTTGCTGGGAGACTTCAACGCACATGTGGGCAATGATGGAGACACTTGGAGGGGCGTGATTGGGAGGAACGGCCCCCCTGATCTGAACCGGAGTGGTGGTTTGTTACTGGACTTCTGTGCTAGTCATGGATTGGCCATAACAAACACCATGTTCAAACATAAGGATGCTCATAAGTGTACGTGGTACTAGAGCACCCTAGGCAGAAGGTCCATGATCGATTTCGTTATCGTTTCATCAGACCTGAGGCCGTATGTTTTGGACACTCGGGTAAAGAGAGGGGCGGAGTTGTCAACTGATCACCATCTGGTGGTGAGTTGGGTCGAGTGGCGGGGGAAGCCTCTGGATAGACCTGGTAAGCCCAAACGTGTCGTTCGGGTGAACTGGGAATGCCTGGAGGAGGCCCAAGTTCAGGAGGTCTTCAACTCACACCTCCGGCGGAGCTTTTCGGGCATTCCTGTGGAGGTTGGGAACATTGAACCAGAGTGGGCGGTGTTCAAAGCCTCTATTGCCGAAGCCGCGGCGGGGAGCTGTTGTCTCAAGGTCTTTGGTGCCTCAAGGGGCGGTAACCCTCGAACCTCCTGGTGGACACCGGTGGTCAGGGAAGCCGTCCGACTGAAGAAGGAGGCCTTCAGGGATTTGTTATCCCGGGGGACTCCCGAGGCAGTTGCAAGGTACCGACAGGCAGCAGCCTCAGCCGTGGCCGAGGCAAAGCAGCGGGTATGGGAGAAGTTCGGAGAAGACATGGAAAAGGACTTTCGGGCAGCACCAAAGTCGTCGAAAACTGTCCGACACCTCAGTATTCTTTTACACTGTAAAATATTTCATTTAACATTCGGTTTTTAGCTCATCTTATTCTATTTTAAATGTATAGTTTATTTCTTCCACATTTACTTTCACATTGGTCTTGCAACCCTCTCTTACACATTTGTATTCATTTTATTTTTCTCCTTGCACTTTTTTAATGTTTTAATTGTTGTTGTTTTGTTGTTGTTTCTTGTCTTACTATTTAAGTTGCATTTTTTGAGGAGCTGGGGACTTTAGAATGTATGTGCCCTAACTACACTGTAGCTACTGTGCAGATGACAATAAAGCATTTTAATTTAATTTCATACCTTTGTATTTAACACATCCAATAATTCAACTTTGTGATCCCTTGTTATTATTATATGTCAGTGATAGTGAAATCACAGGTAGTTAGACATATCTCCAACATTTAGTATAGTAAATATAATTATTTTGGACAAATTCTCATTATGAAATCCCCTACCTAAAACTGCACTCACATTTGTCATTTATAGGTAATACAAAAAAAAGTGAAATTGACTCTTAAAACTGAATCAGTCATTGAAGAGGGGAGCAATAAGTCTCCTCTGTATGTTCTATGTATGTTACATCTGTTATGTGTCCTTGCGGATATGGTTACCATTGTTATTTCTGCACCAGCTAACTTTTTTCTGTACAAGTGATATTCATTTGTGTCTTTTGGATCCTGCCTTAAATCACAAGCAAATCAAACCAGGATGCTACTAAACAACCACACACGTACCAATAACAATAAGAGTAGAATTACAACAGATGAGTTGGCTAAATGCAATCATAAAAAAACTTTTATTTCTTCATTGTAGTCATTATACCAGCTGTTAGAATTAACCACCAGATTTGAAGTGTTCACATCATACAATGTGTTTCCATCAGTTAAAATGTGTTGTTTTGCTGTATTTGACTGCTGTTTCATAGCTAGGAGAGCAGCAAGGTGATTGGCTGAGAGAACTATTTATTTAGGGTTAATCAAATAGAGAAGTCCCGAAAGAGAAGGAAAATAATAATTTACATGTCTAATATGTGTACTATGTAATTGTAAAGTGCTTTGAGCACCTGTAAAAGCGCTCTAATAAAAAATGTAATGCATTATTATTATTATTAATAATAGGTATATTCCTTTATTCCAATCACATTGGATTGACTTTCAAGCTGCTGGCAGCAACATACGGTCATGTTACCAATCTATCACAAAACGCACCACTTATTATCCCTCCTATATCAAGACCTTGATATCTATGTGCTTCGGATCTTATTTCACTTTAATTAAAAAGGACAACAAAATATATTATAAAATAATTCTTATTCAGACTGGCTGATGCTGGGATGTCTGCTGCTCGAATGTGTGTATTTAACCAACTCAATACATCTGTTGACAACAAACTGCTTTATTAGGCCTTGTTGTACCTAACATATCTTCTTCACTGCATTTTTAATATATTACTCAGGTATAACTGAAGTGCTTCTTATCATTCTGCATTGTTTGGTTGGATTCAACTAGTTAGCTTGTGGGGCTAAAGGTGTCAATAAAAAGTTTGAAAAGCTCTGTCTATTTCCGGAAAAAATTACCAAGTCACTCAAGATAATCCACAGAACTTGTTGTGAGCAATGTTATGTTAGAGCTATTTTGTTTTTTACTGATATATATTGGCCAACCGTTTCATGGCGGTCATTGACAAGAGACTCACACGGACTCCCTGAGTTAGCTTATCATTAGCGAGCCAGCTTAACACTACAGCTTAACCGGGAATTATGCTATTATTGTTTGCATCTCCAACTGTCCCAGCACCACAACAAGGTCTGTGTCAAAAGATATTTTTGCCACAAGCCAAAGGCAAACTACAGTATTTCTATTACAATCAAGGGACATAAATCTCCTGGACTGATATGTCTAACTCTCTGGAACTTACACCAAAACATATACATCTAGATCGACGAATAGCACTACAGGTAAAAGTAAACATATTACATATTGTTTTTTACAGGGGAACTGTCCCTTTTACAAATAAAGTTTTACACAATTAGATAATTGTCATAATGTCCCTATTGTTGTGAGAGTCACGTTACTAAGACTGTATCTTTCAGGAAAATAGATAAAAATTGTATTATTTTATTGTTATTACAAGATTTCACAAATACATAAAACTGGCTACAATAAGCACGAAATAAATACATTATTGCTGTTAAATGTTGATTACTTTTTAATTGTAAAAATAGAAGCACAATGGGACCCAAAACTACGTCTGAAATGGAATTGTAATAACACTGGGATAACACTCTGTTACAAAAGTGCATCCGTCTCTTTTTCCTTGATTTTCACCTTGATTCTCTTTCTGTATTTCTGTATTTCTCTCTAGCTGAGGTGTCAAGAGAAGCTGGAAGAAGTCTGACGTCTCTGTTGGTGCAGCCCATCTCCACCTTCCTGGCCAAGAAGTTACTGTCCTCTCCGTCCACTGGGCAGGGAGACTCCTGTGTGCCTCTAGCCAGGCCTCCCAACACAGGTAAATACACAATGAAAGAATTATATCATGACGTTAAACTAAATATAAAGTAAAATCACCAATATTATATGCAAAATAAATACAAATAATAATAAAGTTCTTGAAGGAAAATCCTTCACTAGTAGTTTATGTGTCACTACCTATTTGGCCAGAAATGTAGAGTAAATAATAATAACCAACCGTTTAAAAAAGGTTTGTTCTCTTGCTCAAGCTCACTGTACTGTAGTTTTAACTGTTCCGTGTTACAGCCAGTACGGAAATGTGTCTGTTCAAATGTGTTATTAGACTTTCAAAAGAGTTAACACCATGTCCTCCATTGTGTCTCGTGGCAGCACTATGGAGATACTGGGGGGTGGGTCACTGTACCACCAGAATGAGAGCTTTATCTCCGTTCTCAGGAATATATCAATTGTCTATTTTCCAGTTGATGTCAATTTGAGTGGTTGTATTGTGAGTTCAAACAGCTGGAATAAACTTGAATCGCCAGGTGATTGGACAAGGTGTTTCGAAAGTATTTGAGGAAAACAGCAGTTTCTTCCTGGAAAGAAGCCAGTTGAGTTGATTAAGGTGTATGGGTAACATATACCCAGCATGCACACCTTTTCCTTTTGTTATTAGGAATGTCCAACATGGAGTACAGATTTGTGAATATCTAGAAATAGCACTGCGTAAGAAGAGCTGGAGGTCATAGCTCAGGAGACTTTTGGGTGGACTTTGCTTATCCAGCTGCCTCCAAATCAGGAATGAAATGAATGACTGTATTTCTGTCTATTCTGTCGGCATGAAGAGTTCATAGCTGTCTGATTAGTATTATCATCATTTTACCTACAGATCCTCTACTGTTTCAATCCAATAACACATTTTGTAGGGATCCCTTTCAGTCTTCTACAGTGTATGTCACTGACGGGTGTTTATAATTACGAGACTAACCCCCCTCCGATCTGTAATTCAGAGTAGAGTTTAAATGATTCAGCAGTTAAACAATACATTGAAAGATTATTGGCAAGTATTTTGATAATTGATTAATCATTGAAGACAATTGAGTGAGAATGTTTTGCAAACGGGTTATTTCACTGTTTGTCAGACTCAACAAGACATTCAAAGTTGTCACATTGATGACCATAACCCTCACCCTAACCCATGTTTCTTTGACCATAAGCAAGTTTGGTCACGCCTAAACATCCCCAAACCTTAAACAGTCAAGTCAGTTTCTAACAATGATTTGCAACAGCTTGTAAGGCAGAAACACTTGCGGTTGTTTTGTTAATAGGAGATCAGAAATAGCTCTTTTGTTCTCAAGGGAAATTAAACAACATGGTTTTTTGTTGAATTTAGAGCACTGAAAAAAAAAGTTTAAGCATCACTAATTCAGTTGTTATAATTGTAGTGATAATATAAAAACCCTGAATTTCCTCTAGTAATGTATTTTGTGTGTGTGGATGCTGCTTTTAGAGACTTCTCCACTTTTCCGAATCACAATGTAAAACTACCCAACATCTTCAACACGGTGCTTCGTTTTGAGCTTCAGCACCCATTATTTTTGACCTTAGGAGTGGGTAAGGAAAGAGCAAGAGCAATAAAGGTAAGGAGGCATGCAGAGATATAACTTAGTCTATATATTATAGGCCTTCGTACCTCTCACCAAGCAGGCTGGTTAGTGACTCGTGTTGAATGTTACTCTCCAATATGTCAAGCCTCTACTAACACAGTGCGATCTAAGCAGGCCCCCCAACAAAAAATGTCATGTCATATTTTACAAAAATAATTTCCAAGCAGTGTGAGATTATAGACTTTTGTTATGTTTCCTTTGTGTTCATGGAAATAAAGTGTGTATTGTATTTAGAGTTGAGAGTAGGATGCTATTTATTACTAGTGTCATGTTGCAGGTAAGCTGCTGTTGTTATTTTGGTATCATAGACTAGTCATGTTCATACTGTATTTCTGTGACATTGTGTAAAGTGTTCTAATCATTTTTAAGCAACTCTTTTAACCATGTACGTTTGCTAGCCAGTTAGCAGCTAATGCGAGACTGACCTCCACGTTTGTATCAGTTTTATCAGTGCAATATGGTAGCCTTAATAATGAGTAGTATGACGGAGCCCCGTCGCAAAATTGTTTATGTTGTAGGCCATTTTGCAATGACATAATGGTGTTATTCTAAGTTGAGTATTTGTATAGAAGAGTATAAGTATACATGACCCTCAAGAGTTTGAGATGAGGTGTAACCTTTTGGTTTTAAATATGCCCTATTATGGTCCTTTTCAGGTTCATATGTATTTGTTGCCACTACTGTGGCATATACGTTCTTTAATGTTCAAAAAGCTCTTTACTTTTCTCATACTGCCTGTGCTGCAGCACCTCCTTTCACCCTCTGTCTGAAGCCAGAGCCCAGTCTGCTCTGAACTGGTTGGCTCTGTTGTGATTGGTCAACCTAGAGAGATTTGTCTGAAATGTCCATACCCTTAGACATACAATGTGTTAGAGTGCTCACCAACAGAAGCGTGTACATAGTGATGTCAATATGTTCCCAGAAGTAAACAAAGGAGTCCAATGGAGGCGTTTCAGGGAGTGTGAGAAACTCCCTCTGGAAGGAAGCAGGGATTTAAGCCTTTGCAGACCATTCACATGCACAAAAACCTATATAACACACTACAGGAAAGGGAAAACTCCAAAAGCATAATAGGGCCTCTTTAAGTAAGAACATGACAATCTCTGTGTACAAAATGCAAGTTGAATACACTGTGTAGTTATTGTGAACCGGTTAAAGGTTATATTTTATTATACATCTTACTGAAAACCTTTATTACATGTGTAGATTGAGCCTGTGTGACATCAATCTGTGCATGATACGATTGCTCACTGCCCTTCATGTACTACAGTCCTTTCTTATAGCAGTTGTATTCTATTCTTGCTCTTGTTATTTTGTACCTTTTTATAATTACTATTTTTATTGCGGTGCAGTTTTGATTGCCTTGAAATGTAACTTGTCTCTAAGGTGTGCCTCACGGTCAGGTCATCGCAAATGAGATGCCATTGTTAATTAACCTGCTGTGAATGAGGTGAGGGAGGCTCTAGGAGCCACAGAGACCTTTCTTCACACGACAGAAGAATGAATAGATAGATGGGATTACATAAAGAGATAGCTTCTAATGATTGTAGCTTCCAGATTCCTCCTTCAAGGCAAACAAGCCAATAAAATATAAGGGGAATCAGGGAAAGACATTACAGACGCTGAGGGCAAAAACTGCCATGCATTAAAAAAATCAATCAATCCTACAGAAGAGGAAATCAGCAAGTGCAGCAGTGTCTTCAGCAGCAGTCATTTCTCACACATTGAAAGGAAACCTTTTAAGTAACCCACATATAAATTAAAGCAGAAAATGTCTGGAAGAAATATATATATGGAGAGTTTAATTGCCTTTGCCGAAAAGAGATGAATAGACGATAAGAGGACGGCAGGGATATTTCCCCATCATTCAAACAGGAGGGTGTAAATATGGAAAAAGAGAATGCGGAAAAAAAGCCAAACAGGAGAACTAACAATGGAGGTGATGAAGGAATGCTTTAAATGGCTGTTTGTAAAGAATCTCACCTTCTTAGCGATATTAAAACGTGTTAATGTGATATATGGTTCCCAACATACAAATAAAAGGCTCTAATTTATGATTTTGCAAGATTGAATGTTGAAAAGATTTATAGTACGGCCGCATATACGAAACATTTACATTTGCCTCCCTCACACGTCTTTTCTTTGTGGATGAAAAGGTGAATACACGTTTGTCCCCAGCAGCGAAGTACATTTGCATTGTGTTGTGCTTAGCTTTGGTAAACCTTTCAGGCAAAAATAGCCACTGCAGGACAGGGTCACCTGCATATGTGTGACCTTTCCAAAAGAGTGTAAAACAAAGCAAGGGGTTCTGGGGGGCTGTTTATGGGCACAGCAATGATTGGAGATAAAAGCTAAAATAATCATGGCAACACATTTTAAAGAGGACATACTATTCTCATGTTCAGGTATTTTGTTCCTCTACTGTCACATATTTCCATGCTTTATTATTCAAAAAGCTCTTTATTTTTCTCATACTGCCTGTTTTTCTTTTCACCCTCTGTCTGAAACCAGATCCCAGTCTGCTTTGATTGGTTAGCCGGCCAGTTCTGTTGTAAATGGTCCACCGCTTAGAGATGTGTTGGCAATGTCCCGCCCCTTAGCCTATGAAATACCATGTTTTTTTAGTGCTAGCTGATTTTAAGCAACTGTTACATAGGGATGTCATTATGCTAGGAACTAAACAAAAGGAGTCCAATAGAGGCGTTAAGCCTTACTAATGTATTCATCAAACATCCTTGTCTTTTCATAATGCAATGTTTAGTTCAGTTTTGGACTGATTCTGTAAAGGATTGCTGCACTTAAGTACCAGGTAGCAGAAGGAGTCTTGACATACTGAGGTGTAAGGCTCTGCTGGTGTGTGTGGTTAGACAGAGTGTGTATACTGTATGTGTGTAAGAGCTAGAGAACGATGAGATGGATACAGTAGTAAGAGGTAGAGTAAATCCCCTCTTATCTCAGCATCACAAGCGCAGGCCTCATACTGCCACCTCCTGAGCCCTCACTCCCTCTGTCTGAGTCCTCTGTCTTTCACTTCAGCCTCTAACCATGCACCCCCCCAACCCTATCTCACCACAGCATTTTTCGTGGAGGGGGGTCGTCATCTCTCACCAGCATGTTTCCCCATTCTACGTGTGCACGGTCTTTCCATTTCCATTTATCCCCCAATAAATCCAAGCAGCCGGTCAGTGAATGGAACACTGCTTTCTGCAGTTTCCCATGTTGCACAGATAACAGTCACACACACACACACACACACACACACACACACACACACACACACACACACACACACACACACACACACACAGGCCGTCACTGTTGTACACCCATGCTGCCCGAGTGAGTCACATAGACAATCAATGTAGAACCCTCAAAAAGCAATGGCCAAAGA